TTACACGAGGATTCATTATTTCCTGGCTAACATATGGAACAGTGCATAATGGGGAGGGTTCTTTTAGTGGAATGCTGGTTGGAGAATGGTAGAATTTCTGTTGTGTGGACATACTGCTTTAATTAACTAATATCTTTAAAAAAACGTTTTCATGTCTAAATGTTGCTGTTAGGTCTGCAGTCTTATAAGGTCTGCTAGATCTTTATGAAACCCCGACTAGCTCCTGCAAGCATATTGGTGACCAACTGCAGCCAATTGTACCCGAGACAGCTGTTGGCATGATTACTCAGACACTGCTTCATGGAAAAGTAATTCTCTACTTATGGTGCTAGATCTGCTGAGCATTTCTAGCAATTTCAGTCTTTGGCTCATGAGGGCCAGACTGAGTGCTATGTTGTTTATGTCATCGTATTGTCACAAAGTCGGGGTATCAGCAACAGCACTGCTATGTTGTGAATGCAGTCAGAATATAGAACTAAATTAGCCTCATTGCCAATAACAGTAATAACATTAACAATACTGCACTTTCAGTAAAATACACGTTATGCCAGAGTTTTGCTTGCCCCCTTCTGGATATGTGAATTTTACTCAAATATGACTTTACACAGAAAATTATCCATACTTCCATCAAAAAACTTGCAAAAGGAAACAAGCATGGGCGAGAACTAATTTTTAATGAACTGTTCTAAAGAGACATATGAACAAATTCCTCACCATCGTCTGATTCACTGTCTGAATCTGGAGTAACTAGTTCATTCTTTTGCTCTAGAGCCTGCTCTAGGGCAGCCTGTAGTTTCCGTGGTATCAGCGAGTCCTCATCATCCATCTAAGTAAATTATAAAATTAAAAGAAAACATATTTTGTCCAATCCATTGTTTCCTTTCCAAATACCAAATAAAAGTTGTCTTTTAAATTCTGTTTAGAGCTTTTGCGGTTTCTTCATGCAATGTGTCCCAAAAACTACTTGTTTCTTTTATATATACTGTACTAACGTAATTGTAAGTTATAACAAAAAATAAGTAGCACTGTTCTTCAAGTACAAAAGGCTTATTCAACACTTGCAGAGAAGTCTATTCCTTCAGCAGAAGATAAAGGACAACTTTTAAAGCTCTTGTTTTTTGACATTAATAAAATACTTTGCCATGAAAAATATTCTTCAGTATCATGACCAATACGATTCTCAGACAATAATGTTGACAATTTCCACTGTTAAATTTGGCCTTAAACATCAGTGTAATAAATTTAAAAAACTGCATGGAGAGCAATTGCTCCTCCCTCCAACACCCTCAAACGCCTGCCCCTGCCCACCCCCTACATCCATAGCATGATGCCAAGCAACCAGTACCTGAGAAGGGAATTCTGGCACAATTTGGATTGTTAATTACATTTACTTCAGAGTTTAATTTGGTTCTTTAATTAGAAGACCTTAATGAGTTACATATTTAGTGAGATTTCAATAATAATTCTTTTGATCAGAAATAACTGGATTGTTTCATTTTGAAGAGTTGTAAGTTTAGTGCAGGCCTGCAAAGTATTTTTATCTCTCACGAGACAATTTAAAGAACTAACTCTGTATTTATGACATCTGGTCTCCAACTTAGCATTATTGAGCATTTTGGAGGAAGCATCAGCATCAAAGATTTAGCAGATGTTTATTTACATAGCTAATAGGCAGCAGCAGGGAATTATAGATGAATCCTCTCAAAAATGGGTGCCTCGAAAGGTCATGATATAAACAGCCACTAATTGACAGACGGTGCAGGAGACCCTATGGCCATTCCCCTCTCATACAGATATATTGTTTGGATGCTGTTTTTGGGGGGATGGGGGAGTGCAATTGGAGGGTGGCCTCTCAGAGAGAGAAAAAAACAGTAACAGCCAAGTTTGTGGCACCATGGTTATCTCTGCTGCACAGCAGGGGAGGAAGAAAACTGGGACAGCTTTAGTGATTCAAACATTGTAGTAGACTATACTGACTCTCACTTGTGCAGCTGTACAACGTCACAATCCTCTCATAACCCAATACCTCTGACTTTTGCCAAGTTCCGTGATGTCTTTTGCAAGGAGAGAAAGCAAGGAGGTGGGATTATTAGAAATTACTCATTTTCAGAGGAGTGAAGGACAACATTGGCATATAGAGTCCGAGAAGCTTGGTTACAACAGGGCAGTAGATTAAGAGTCATTGAGAGTGTTGGAAAAGCATGTAAGGTGCCTATAATCATTAGCAACAAGTGACCACAACCAAGTTTCTGATCCTCCTCATTCTCTGTTGCTAAGTACAGCATCTTCCTTAAAAACTTTTCCATATATCCTATCCCAAGACATCCACTATTTTTATTCAAATCTACCACTTTGCCTTAAAACACTTCAATGATATCTTCTGCCATGTCTGCACAGTTACCTGGAGTGTACTCTAGGTTTCTGTCAATGGCATTCACCTTCATTGTTCAGATGGCACTCTTGACAAAGCTAACCAGAAGGATGTAGTTAAGCTTTCAAACGTGGACTGCTGACAGTCTGTTGCATATCATCACCTCCTTGATAAATCTCATAGCTGCTGTCACTATCGGTTAACTATATCATTAAGGTCCAGATAAGCTAAAAGCTTATCCATCTTGGTTTTGGTCACTTAATAGGCATTCTCTTTGGCTCCCACAATAAGCTGTGTACCCCAGCCCCGGATGCAGTCCTTCTTACGGCTGCCACACAATCTCAGTCCAAAAGGAAAGTAAATTTTTTTATTTAATTTGACTTTAACTTATTTTAACTTTTCCCCTCCCAACAAAGTCAGCCAGTACCATTTTCTCACTCTTTTACAACATTACCAACCTCGATTCTCCCCACCTTCTTCCTTTCAAACCCCAATCTATACTCTTCTCACCTTACTCTTCTCTCACTGACTACCTTCTTCCATTAATAACAGGGAATGCTAAGATGGTAGGAAAACTAAACAGATGCTTTGTGTCTGCCCTCAGGGATGAAGTTACAAGAAATTGCCCAAAAAAACAAAGATCAAAGGAATTAGTGGGAAAATGGAACTGACAGAAATTAGTATTGCTAAAAAAAGTAGCATTGGATAAATGAATGGGATTGAAATTTGACAAACGCCCTGCTCTGATGATCGACAAGGCTGAAAGTTGAAAATGGTGGTTATAAAGATAGTCGATTACAGGTAATAAACCAGAATGGTTTCTCCAGCTATTCAGAACCTATGAAGGGTGGTATCTTTCATTCCCAAAAGCAGCAGGAAGGCAATTTAATTAGACCCGGTGGGAATGTCCCAGAACGCCACCGCCTTTCTGCCTCCATCCGAATTGTTCTGACTGGGAAGGCTCTGCTCAACCTTTCCACTCCTTCACTGATGCAGGCCATTACACATTCAATTAATGACAATGTAAGGATCTATTAAAGACCTTTTCCCACTTGGGCTCCTATTATCTCAACTCAAGGATACAAAAAAAAAAGTCAGCCACTTTGACTGATAAACCAGTTCCGGCATGCTGTCAGATTGGTGAGGTAGTGAATGGGTTCCTGGATCTGTGCTCGCTTGTGCATAAGTTGGGGGGGCTCAACATAGGACAGGTAAAAGACACCCACTTGCTCTTGCTTCTGAACCCAAACCTCTTTGCATGACCCCCAACCTGGAAACCCATGCCCTAATTTAAAAGCATGTGTCTGACAACCCCGTCCTAGGAATACTGGTTAACCTTTCAATGCTAGCCCAGAGAACTATGGAACCCTAGTAACTGAGTATGTTGAACACAGAAATTGATACATTCCTAGATAGCAAAACCATCAAGAGATATGGGGATGCATGGGAAAACACTGTTGAGGTAGAAGATCAGCCATGAATGACTTGAATGTGGGATGTTCATGTTCATGAACCAATTTGAGTGTGGGATCAGACTTAATGGGACAACCAGTTTACTCTCGCTTTTATTTCCTATGTTCTTCGTTCATCTGTAAGCTACATTAGCAAAAATACTGCAGCTCGTTTCCTTGCCTGTACTTTGATCTACACTGAATGGCAATGGCCCCTGCTCTGCTTCTGCCCATTCCCCCATTTGGTTCCTTTCCAAAATAAAATGGAAATCGAAGAAAATGTGGGAAGAACCAGCATCCCACTGCTCATTGCCATTGTGGACCATTAACCCACTGTGTCAGCCTGTAACACTCCATAAATAAAAAAAAAATCTCAAAAGACGACTAGCAAAAGTACAGACTTAACTGGTAACATTACAATCCCAGTTATAAATTCACAAGTATTTAACAGTTTGGTTCTTATGCAGGAATACTTCTGCTATGAGTCTTACCTGTCGGAGGAAGCGATCTGTCCCTAGATCAACCATTAGTGCCTGATGAAAAGAATTTTGTAGAATTCATTATCATTGAGAAATCAGTAGACTCTTTAACTAAAATTGTTTTTGCCTAAACCCCACACAAGATTAAATATTTGGCCTTGACTTTCTGCAAATATGAAATCTGCCAGCCCAGCTCCTCAGGAAAAACTAATTAAGGTATTACTCCAAGCTTTGGAATTCCAAACAGATAAGCAGTTTGTTCAAGGACCATGCTATAAATGGGTGTCACAACATCAGTGCAAAAACATTCACAACAATCCCTAAGGACCTCCAAGAGAAGCGATGTTAAGACAAGGGCATTGAATCTTTAACACTTTTAAGTCTTAACCTCTGATGAATTAGTTATTTCAAACTGCTGCAGCAACATAGCAACATTCTGAGTTCAGACTGACCATGTAACAACCTGCTTGCAAAATGCCAGTTCTACAGTTAGTCTTACCACATACAGCAGGATTTACCAGTCACAGTCATGAATATACTGTACCACAAATCCTGCTTACGTTTCCTGTATATACATGTCACATGAAATTAAAAGTAGTTAGCTATTAAGTGGATAGGAAAATGTGAACAATGTGCCCATTATTTCCTGATGGTTGGTCAGTTGAGAAGACTCCTGTGACAATGGCAAACTGAATAGCATAAAGCACCCTAAACGCAAGCAGCCTGATAAAGGCCCGAAGGAAAACTTGACTATGTCAAGATCTCAAATGTGTCTTTTCCTTCAGAGATAGTAGGAACTGCAGATGCTGGAGAATCCGAGACAACAAGGTACAGAGCTGGATGAACACAGCAGGCTAAGCAGCATCATAGGAGCAGAAAGGCTGACGTCTCGGGCCGAGCAGATGTTTGCTCAATTTAACCCAGCAAGCCTTTGGTGAAAAGTTATTAGACATGTATATTCTCCTAATCATGAAGGAAGGTCAGTGAGTTGATGGTAAATGAGCTGCTGAGTGTTGTAACTCCTTTTACATTTTAGGTGTGAACCCAGACAGATGTGAGAGGGACAGTGACACTGTGGTGCCAGTAGAACTACATAGGAAGCTGCAATGAGACATCTGATGGTGATGCCCAGCATCCAATCTTGTGTGTGACAGTCCTATGCAGTAGAAACTTTACAATGCTAACTAACCCTCATAGGGGCACAAAGCATTGAGTAGAGAGAGCAGAACATACCTTGCCAGTGCACAACAAATCACGCAATCCATTGTGACACTGGAGCTAGGTTCTCCTGAGCTACCCACAATGATGAACTCTGCAGCCACTTCTGTCCAAATGGCCTTCATCAGTCAGGATAATCTCCATGGGGGGGGAAAAAAAAAAACTTCTCTTCTCTCCTACACAGCCTTCTGGAGAACTTCTAGGGAACTGTTGCTAAAGTGTGCCATTGCCTTTTGCCTGGCCTCTGTCATTTCCAGTGGGTAAGGGATGCTCAGCAGAAGTGGACAGATGTTCCTGGGTTGCTCCTGGATGAACCACTGTCTGGGTACCTTTCACATATGGTATCCAGAAGTTACAGCCTGGAAGGTCCCAGCAGGGGACAGAACCTCCTGCCCAGCTGACTATAAAATTTGAAATATTACACCCGCACATATATGTAATGACCTGAGAGCATAATCCCATGAGAAAACCAACACACCCCCAAGCAGAAGTCCTTCCCACTTTTAGTTTCCAAATAAACAAATTCTGCCACTGTTTTAATATAGAGAAACTCAGTAAGACATTTGGATGAATGTTTTATGCCTTTCAAATAAAAGTTTTGTTTAACAGAACCTACAGACAGGAAATGCACTTCCTTAAAATAGGGAAATATTTTGAAGTACTTACTTCTTCTACTGGAAGTTCCTTTAGCTTAGAAAGTGAACTGGAGAGCAATCCCACCAGGAAGGGTGTTGGACAACAGACAATGTCGATCATGGAGGATGGAAGTACTGGTATAAAGGTGTGCTGCCAGGAGAATGGGTACAGCAGAGCCACCACAGCATGGGCACAGCTGGACAAAGTGCTGTGTGAACATGACAAAACCAACCAATGATTAATTCTGCTGTTCAATGCAATTGTATCCCTAAAATATTGTCCCAGTTACTAAAGAAATTATGATAATCTTGGGCTAGGGCTTTTTTACATATTGGAGAAAAGAATTTGATGAGTTAAAAATACCAAAACATCCAGGGATTTAGATCATGTCTCAGATAAAAGAGTATACCATGTGCTTTTTGTTAGTGATTTCAACCATAAGATGTATTGTATGGTGAAATGTAGAAAATAGGAGCAGGAGTCAAATTGGGGGCAGTTAGCCCTCACAAAGATCCACTGGGTGCATCAAACATGACACCCCTTTCAAAAATCCATATTGATTTTGAATAATCCTGTTGGTGATTTCTATGTATCCTGCATTCATATCCTTTATAACAGACTGCAGCCAATTTCCCTACTACTGATGTTCGGCTAACCAGTATGTAATTCTGCTTTCTCCCTCCTTTTTTTAATAGTGGGATTATATTTTCCACGCTTCAATTCCATGCATCAATCTGCTGACTGATCCAGAATCTACAGAATTTTGGCAGACGACAACCAATGCATCCACTATTTCCAAGACCACCCCCTGGGATATAGATTATCATGATCTAGTGTTGTTATCAGCTATCGGTCCTATTAATTTCTCCAGCGCTTTTTAAACTGATACTAATTTCCTTCAGCTCCTCTTTCCCTCATGCTTCTCCAATATTTTTGAGAAGTTATTTGTATGTCCTTGTGTGAGAAAAGAAATAAAGAATTTGTTCAGTTCCTCTGCCATTTCCTTGTTCGTCATTGTCAATTCTCCCATTTCAGACTGTAAAGGACCTATATTTGTCGTACCAGTATTTTCCTTTCTCATACGTTTAGAAACTCTTACAGTCCACGCAGTCAAACACTATGCTTAGTCCTTAAGTTCTATACATGGGTGACGTTTGGTGGTCATGTAAGGTTTATGTTTTCTTTTTGGCTGGTTAGTGGATACATTTTTTCTGGTAGCAAACTCAATGAGTATAATTAAATAAAATCATGTAATCTTAACTAAACTCAATAAACATTTCATGAGATTGGAACTGAAGCAATACTAGTTTTACTTGACTGCATGCTTTCTCACAGCAGAAAATTGGTAAATTTAAGTTGCAACCACATAGAGATGTCCTCGAATGGCTTTCTATCTTGCAGGACCAAGACTGACCACAGCCTAATGAGTCTTGAACCAATTGCCAGATTGCATCAATAGAAACTTAGATCATTCAGTTATTTGATTCTTTTTCTGACTTTACACAGATCCTCTTTTTTTCTCACAATATGAATCTGGATTTAAATTTCCATCATAATTGGCATTGATTGTACATTCAACATTGCCCATTGTTTTTGGTTAATCACATATTGCCATTGATGCCATTTTAAGCAAATAAAACTATAAACAATCATATCCAACACACTGAACGTTAAACAATTTTCTTTAGCAAGGGAATGTCCCAGCAGCTAGGGTGTTATACCAGAGCCTGATATTTGATCTGAATGTTAAATGCCAGATTTGATCAGTAAGGATGCTTCAATGGCTCAGCTTCACAAATGCCTTACCATGTAGCAAGGAAATCAGGAAATTTAGCACAGGGATTCCCTTCAAAACACCACATTTCAGCTGACCAACTTGAAGCTTGGATAAACAAGGAATGGTGGTGAGACCATCTGCTAAACACTACAGGGTGGCAATTGTTAGCCTCACAGCCAATTAGTATAAAAGTTATTAAATTAGTATCAAAACTTGTAAGCCGAATACTGCTAGAGAATGAGTGAAGAAAACGTACTGGAGCAAACAGGAACAGTTAAAAGAACAGTTTTTTTCAGTAGAGTTATCTCAATTAAGGAAAAAAAAAATCAAGCAAAATAACTGGTGTTCTAACTAATCTAATGAACACTCCTGGAAAAACAAAAACTATTTGGGTGGTCCAGCTGTTTAAAATTCTAGGAATCTGAAAGCACTTTACTTCAGTTAATGAACTCATTTTGATAGCCTTGTTTTATTCAGTTCATGAAGAAGTCCAGTTCTGAAAAGAAGTCACACTTGACTTGAAATATTAACTCTGTCTCTCCTCTTTCCACAGATGCGGCCAGACCTGATGAGTTCCTCCAGCATTCTCTGTGTTACTTCCAGCATCTGCAGTAGTTTGCTGTTATTTAAGGGCTTAGTTTAAAACTGGTGAAAGGAAACGTTAGGATAGAGTTTGAGAAGAACATTTCTGTCCTTTTGCATCCGGTTGTAACCAGCTTATGTCACATTGGCATTTGCACATGCATGCTGGCCATTGTGGCACATTGCATAATCACTTTTGGTTTTCCCTTGTGGTCTTGAAAGTTGACTGTACGTTCAGTGCTCTGCCAAGCCACCAGGTGGCAACATTTAGTAATTTCTTTTTCACTGGCGTTATAGTTGATAGTCTTGTGGTAATGTACAAATTTTTAATTCTGTAATTAGCATATACCTGCGGATTTTGATGAAATGTTAAAACCTTATTAAAAATTCAAATCATAGAATAAATAATTTGGAAAAAGCACATTACTATTAACTTTAGGAGTCAAAGAAAACTTTTCAATCATTCGGTAAGGAATTGCTTTCTATAGGTTATCTGCGAGTAACTGAATTCTAAATAACTGATGTCAGAGCACCTAGCATAGATATAACTAATTTAGGGTCTTTAGGAGTGAATTATGTAAGAGTAAACGTGGATTATTAATACTTCAGTCACCTCAGTGCTGTTTTGTTGTGTAGCTAAAATCAAGTCAAGAATGAGTTAAGATTTCAACAAACCGATCATTGTGAAGGGGTTAAGCAGTTGCCATTGAGTCCATTTATCTCCCCAGTTGGAGTGGGTTAGACTATGCCAGCTTTTTGTTTGACTCTGAACAAGCTTCACATCCAGGTTCCTTTCTATCAGCAAAACTATTTCCAACTCTGTAGTAATGCTTAGCTCTACCCTATCACTGTTTTATGTTTGCCTGCAAAAAATAATTATTATTAGTTGTAAAGATTGTTGAGATATCTAGGTGTGGTCATAAAGTGCTATAAGTGCAAGTACTTGCTTTTTGAAGCTATTTAGTATGTGTCCTTCTTGCTGAAGTTCAAAATTCAGCCTTCTGCATTCTATTACAGAAAGTTGTGTTTATCAATCATCTTGTTCACAGTCATATTTATTGGCTCCTTTGTTCCATGGTAATTGAATTTTAAATGTTCATGCTGGTATCCTAATGTCTTTCTGGTCACACTGCACGCACCCCAGCTCTACCATCACCTCCAGCCCTCTTAATTACATGGACTCTGGTCTGCCTTCTTGGTATCCCTTCTCCCCAAGGCTGGTGGCAAAATCTTCAATCATCTCTGGAACTACCAGCCCAAACTCATTTGCTTTTTTCCTCTACCTCTCAAACAGAAATTTGCTCATTCTTGGAAACTACTGGCCCCCAGAGTTTCATTTGTAAAGTTATTACAATGTGGTCAGATTTGAAATTTTGTGGTGATTTTATGCAATTGATATAATACGATTGACTGACATTTTTTAACCAAAGTTTGGTAAACCACGAGTAGTGGATAGTCATTTGGTACTGAAAAACTTGAAAATTGCTGGAAAAAAAAAAACATTTTTGAGGTTTTTTTTGCTTTGTACTCATCAGGACAATTTACAAGAATACAAATGTAAAGGGAAAACTACATTCATTCGATATGACAGGAGACTGCTGATTGGTTGGCAAATGCACTCTGATTGGTACTGGAATTGCCTCTAATATTGTTCTCCCCTTACTGTGGTATTCTTATGAATTGCCCTAATAAATGCAAGATTAAAAGCTTCAACAAAATGTGTCTTTTTTCAGCAACATATGTACATAAAACTTTTCATTAGATCCATTAAGCACAACTAATAATTTTATGACAATCTCTTTCTTGAAACAAAACTCCAGCATGTGATAATGTGACACCATGCTGACAACAACTTGCATTTATACAGTACTTCTAAAGCAATTGAGTGATGCAATCCAAAAGTTGCAGCAAGTGCTCTAGTTTAAGCATTATGGTCAGTTATTTTTTGGAGTAATTTGCACACTCATACTTTAGATTCTATGGCTACACTGGTATTAAAGGTCTTGCAAATTACACCAGGATATCTTGTTATGCCATACTGAGGTAATGTGCTGGAAATCAAGTCCCTCTATTCCCTGACTCCTCACAAAAGTTAAAGAATTATAAAAGTATGTAAAATTCCTCAATTTACCTGCCTTTTAGAACCAGAATGACAGAAAACATGGAGCAGGTTTCTGTACTTAACAAGAATGACTATTTGCTACACAGCTTCACACAAAAAAAATTACGATCCATCAACATGTAACTCTACTAATTAAAACTAAAACCCTCTTATAAACTCCACACACATACACACAGAAAAAAATCATGCTGTAATGGACAGAGAGAAGTACTAGGAATGTAATTCAATTGCCCCGGTTCAAAGGGTTCAATAAGATGACCTTTTTAGCTTGTCAGGATGTGCTGCACCTTGATCCTCCTCCTGATACTTTTGTTTGCCTGCAGATTCACAGGGTGGTGGGTTCACACATAAGGCCAAGGCTTACAGCAAATCCTGAGGAAAAAGGCTTTCTTTAGGCTTAAGGTATTTTTTTTAAACTGAAGACAAAGGATATATCTCCTGCACTTATGGAGATCTGTGGCTTCTGACCAAATATTCTCACTCCCTCAAGCTGTGCAGCTACCTGGGAGCCGGTCACATACTTGGTGGCAGGCAAGAGGCCTTTGTCATTGATAACTGATCCCCAGTGCACAGACCAATCAGCTATTTGTTGCCAGCCAAACTCCATTCATACACACCCCTTGGCTCTAGCTCATCTGCAAACCTTCCCTCCACTGCTTGAACACACGATTGTGTAAACAGCCCTTATCACAAATGTCAGATTATTTGTTGTTAAAAAGTACAGCAATCCTTCATTTCTCAAACAGTTCCTTTCCAGTTTCAGTCCACAAGCAAAATACATAAAAATAAAAAGACATGGCCTTTACAATATGCAGTTATGAAGGAATGAGGGTAGGAAGAGCAGAATAAATCAGTCAGGTTTTCTGTTACTGAGGGCTGTTCCATGCACCAGGCGCAAAACTGCTTCTGAAAAGACATTGAAATAGGGCAGGTCTTGGCTCTGCTGTAACATCTCTATTGATAGCTAGATTAACACCATGCATTATTAATAATGTGTGCATAAAAATGACCCTGTGGATGCAGGGTCTTCTTCTATAATTATTCCCAAGCATGGCACAATGTCCAAGGAAGAAAGTGGGGTAGAAACATCTTAGAAAAATGCATTCAAAGACACCAAAACTGGTGGAGCTGCAGACAGTCAGGAGGATTGTCAAAGAATACAGTGGGATATAGACAGATTACAAATCTGGACAAGGAAATGGCAAATAGTGTTTAATCTTGACAAATGCAAGGTGATGCATTTTGGAAGATCAAATTGTGAATTATACAATAATTGGCAGAACCCTTAGGAACATAGATCATAGAATCCTACAGTATGGAAACTGGCCCTTTGGTCCAACAAGTCCACACTGACCCTTGGAGCATCCCACCCAGACCTATCCCCCATAACCCACCTAAGCTACACATCTTTGGACTGGGAGAAAACCGGAGCACCCGGAGGAAACCCACGCAGGTACGGGGAGAATGTGCAAACTCCACACAGACAGTCGCCCAAGGGTGGAATCGAACCCGGGTCCCTAGCGTTGTGACGCAGCAGTGCTACCCACTGAGCCACAATGCCACATTGACATACAGGAGGGATCTGGGCATAAAGGTCTACAGATCCCTGAAAATGGCCACACAGGTGGATAAGGTGGTCAAGGCGGCATATGGGAGACTTGCCTTCATCGAACAGAGCATCAAATATAAAAGTTAGCAAGTTATAGGCCACATTTGGAATATTCCATGCAGTTCTGGTCACCACAAGAATGTGGACCCTTTGGAGAGGGTGCAGAGAAGGTTTATGAGAATATTGCCTGGTCTGGAGGGTT